CCTCAGTCCTGCTCCACCTCTTGTCAGCAACAACGCCCCGCCCTCACTGACCAGCCTGCTGCAACCCCATCCGTCCCTGTCTTCAGTGATTGTCTTGAGCCAACTTTAATTCCCTCTCCCCCACTAGACCCCCATGCCCCCCACTGGGACCTCCTCCTGACCTACTAACATCTTCTGACTCCACCTCCCCACCTTCTCCCACAGCTGACCTTTACTCTCAAGTCCAGATGCCCTGACCCCTCGCCCGACTCCTGACATGTGCCAAGGGCCCCTTCCCCAGGACCCTTCCTTTACAGACCCTGGTCCTCTGACCTTTGCTCCCGTGGAACCCCAGCCACTGAGCCCACTCCACGATGGGCTAGACTGACCGGCCCCCGCCATTCCCAGGCACGGGGGAGACGCCCACACTCAGCACTCTGGACTTCTACATGGCCCGGCTGCACGGAGCCATTGAGCGCGACCCTGCCCAGCATGAGAAACTCATCATTCGCATCAAGGAGATCCTGGCCCAAGTCGCCAGGTGTGTGCCTGGGTGCCCCACCCCTCACCCACCTGCTCAGCCCAGGTGGGGCGGCCCTGTATGGGGAACTGCCTCAGGCTAGGCCTGCTTTGGTCTACCTCTATGGAAATGTCTGCATTTCATCCTCCAGTGGGTTTCCCTGGGTCTGTAGGCACTGCCAGGGTGGGATCCAGCAGCTTAATCTTTCTCTGGGGGTCTGGCACATTCGGGAGTTACCAGGTGGGACTTATTTGATGTATGGGGCATGAGGCGAGTGGTGGGACCACTGGGAGGTGGGTGCCGAGCAGGCCAGGTGCTGTATTAACGCTGCTGGGTGGGATCTTCCAGCCTGCCTTGGCCAGCTAGATTCATTCTGGGGGGGCTAGAACTTCTCCAGGGCTTGGCAGTTAATTCTGGGTGATTTCTGGCTGCCCAGTTTAGATGGGGTTAACTTCAGGCCCCCCCACCCTGACACCTGTTGGGAGGAGCTGGGGTGGCCTCTAGTGTCCCCCAGGATCGTAGGGGGACTGAGATGATGGAGTCCGCCATCATGACTGCCCCCCACTTCTGTTGCAGTGAGCACCTATGAGAGTGTCGGTCGCTTCAGCAGCAGATCCGGAGAAGACCAAGCTCTGGTTGTGCCACTCCCCCACCCCTCCTCCAGGGAGCGGGGGTAGGGGTCCACCCTTTGGGGCCAGGCTCAGTTCTGCACCTTGGGAGCTCCAGGCCCCTAAAATTATTCTATACCATCCCTCTAGCTTTCAACCTCCCCAGTACTCCAAATCCAGGATAGTCATCTGCCATGCATAACACACGGCCTCACAGGGCATGTCACACTACAGGCACATGGGGACACCACACATGGGAAGCACAAGCCAGGACAAGAGGACCCACAGCAGTTCTCCTGCTGGTGGAGGGAGAGTGCCACAGGACACAGGGCGGAGCAAACCCACACCTGTCCCACCAGGAAGGACCCGAAGGTGCCAACCGCAGTGCCCACATCAACAGGCACTGGCAGGGCACGCTCACACCTGGGCGAGGGCCTTCCCCTCGAGTTCCTGCACCCCAGAATGGGGGAGCTGCTACTGACTCCCCCGCCTTCATCCAGCTAAGGGACCCTCATGAAGGTGGCCCCTGTGCCACTGCTTAAATCTGGGCTTTTTAAATTAAAAAATAAAGTGGAATTTGAATTTCAAGCTTGTGTGTGTGTGTTTTATAGGGAGTTGGGCCAGAAGATGCACCCAGGACCCTTCAAGATTCCCCTACTGGGGGTCTCAGGCCTGCCCTCCCCCAGCCCCTGACAACCAAGAATCTACTTCTGTCTCTCTGGATTGGCTTGCTCTGAACAATTCATATAAATGGAATCACACACTGTACCTTTTTGTATCTGGTTTCTCTCACTGAGCCTTTTGTTTTCAAGTTCCATCAGCACTGTAGCGAGTATCAGTGCTTCACTCCTCAGGGCTGAGTAGCAGTCCAGTGTGCGCAGAAGCACACTGCGTTTCTCCACTGGTGGACGTTTGGGCCGTATTCCTCTCTTGGCTGCTGTGAACTGTGCTGCTGTGAGCATGCGCACACAGGTTCTCGTCTGAGCTCCTGTTTTCAGTTTTCTTGGGTTATCCCCAGGAGTGGACTTACTGGTTCATATGGTAATTCTATGCTTAACTTACTGAGGAAACAGAGACTTCTGCATTTGATGGAATATTTAAAGTATCCTGAAACTCCTCAGATACGGCCTCTGCCTGCCTTTCCATCTGGGAGAAAGCTGTCCCCCAGCTCCTGCCCCGATGCCAGACACTCCAGATCCTCTCTGTGTGCCACTGGTGCCTTTCGAGCTGCTGTCCCAGTGGGAAAAATATATCCTCAAACTTTCAGAAACAAATTTGACCAGCGCCCATGTTACAGGTTGAATTATATCCCCTCAAAAGATATGTTGTCCTCATTGGTGTGGTTTAATTGGTTGGGCATTGTCCCACAAAGAGAAAGTTCACTGGTTCGATTCCTGGTCTGGGCATAGGTTGCCTACCCTGTGGGTTCAGTCCCCGGTTGGGATGCATACACAAGGCAACTGATCGGCATTTCTCTCTCACATCAATGCTTCTCTCCCTCTTTCTCCCTCCCATCCTCTCTCTCTCTCTAAAAAAAAAAAAAAAAGTCAAAGTCCTAACTCCCAGAACTTCAGAATGTGACCTTACTTGGAAACGGAGCCATTGCAGACAGGAGTTAAGATGAGGTCAGCTGGGAGCAGGGCGGCCGATCCACATGACTGGTGTCTCTATAAGAAGATGGAAATTTGGACGCGGTCACACAGGAGACGAGGAACGCCAAGGATGGCGGGCCCCCACCCCAAGCCAGGAAAGGCAAGGAAGGACCCCACCCAGGGTCTTGCAGCGTGCTCTTGCTGCCAAGCTGATCTTGGACTTCTGGCCTCCAGAACTGTGAGAGAATAACTCTGTTGTTTTAAGCTGCCCAGTTTGTGGTACTTTGTTATGACAACGCTAGAAGACTGATACAATGGGACATTGTCACCCCGTTCCAAAGAATGAGATTCCTAATCCTGCCACCTCCCTGGCACAGGTATTTCCATTCCAAATTTGGAGTTTAGCAGGTCTTTTTTTAAAGTTGTTGGGGTTTTAAAAATATTTTATTTATTTATTTTTAAAGAAAGAGAGGGAGAGAAACATCAATGTGTGGTTGCCTCTTACACGCCCCCAGCTGAGGCCCTGGCCCGCAACCCAAGCATGAGTCCTGACTGGGAATCGAACCAGCGAGCCTTTGGTTCACAGGCTGGTGCTCGATCCACTGAGCCTCACTGGCCAGGGCTGTTGTTTTCAATCCTCATCCAAGGATATGTTTATTGATTTTAGAGGGAGAGGAAGGGGAGAGAGAGAGAGAGAGACATCAATGTTTGAGAGAGAAATATTGATGGGTCGTACATGCCCTGACTGGGGATGGAACCTGCAACCTTTTTCGGTGTACAGGACGACGCTCCAACCAAATGAGCTACCCAGCCGCGGCTCCTGGGCAGGTCTTTACATACTTTTAGCATGTGAGTATGTCTTCTAAAAGACCATTTGGATCATATTGGTTTCCCCCCTGAGTTTTTAATGTGTACAGTTCTGTGGTTTCTAGTGTATTTACAAAGTTGTGCAATCATCGGCACAATCTAACTCCAGAACATTCCATCACTCCGAAAAGAATCCCTGTCCCTCTTAGCGGTCGTCCCCAACCCCTTCTCCAAAAATTCACTTACTGTCATTGAGGATTTGCTTGTGCTGGACATTTCATATAAATAAATCACACACTGTGGTTCTTCGTGCCTGGCTCCTCTCGACGAGCACTCCGTGTTGAAGGCTGGCCCTCATTGTGCCGTGTGGCATGTTTTGCAGCCTTTAAACTTCACATCTATTTTCTTATACCTGCTTTTTCCATCAATGTCTGGCTTCTGAGTCTTCCAAAGCAGTAGACACCGCTGCCTGGCATTCCACCGCTGTTTACTGAGCCAGATTTCCCAGTGCCTGGTATTATATTCCCAGGGAATTCTTGCAGAGCATTCTGGGCGCAGGATGGGTTCATCCATAAGTTGGGGGATCCATTTAGTCCCTCACCAAATATTGCCTGAGTGCCTGCTCACTGTGTGCCAGGCGCTGAGCACCCAAATACAGCAGGGGAACAGGAGACCAGAAGCCCTGCCCTCCTGCAGCTGACATTCCCGCTGGGGAGACGGGGACCAAGATGGATAAGTTAAAATATCTGATTCATCGAGTGCTGCCCAATGTTAGAGAGAAAAGGAAAGCGGAGAAGAGAGATTGGCAGAGGGAGTGACATTTGGGCAAAGGGCTGAAGGAAGTGAGGGAAGGAACCACCTACAGAACTGGAAGAAGGTGTTCCAGGCAGAGGGCATAGCACATGCAAAGGCCCTGGGGCAGGAGTGTGCCTGGCGTGTTAGAGGAATAACGGAGGCCCCTGTGGCTGGAAAGCAGAGCCAGCCAGGGGGAGAGAGAGAGAGAAGATGAGGGCAGAGTGGGATGGGGGCAGGCCGTACAGGGCCACGTGGGCAGATGAGAAAACTAAGGCTTTTACCCTGAGGGAGGTGGGAGCCCTGGAGGGCTGTGGGCTCCGGAGAGACAGGATGTGGCTCAGGTTATATCAGGTAACCTTATTCCTTCCTACCTGTTAAGGCTGTTGCAAGGATTAAATAAGAGCGTCTAGGCGAGTGAGCGCTCCTCAGTCCTTATTTGTGATCCACGTTTTCCCCCGCGCTACAGCTCGGGACCCCGCAGACTGCCCAGCGTCCCTGGGGAGCGCGCAGCTGGCCCTGGCAGAGCCGGGACACCTGGGGCCGTTCTCCCCCCTCCGCACCCCACGGTGTCGCCTTCCTAGGCGGCTCGGGTTCCTGGATCCCCTTACCCGGGCAGCTCGGCTGTCGCGCCCTGGGCCGGGGGAGGGGAGGCCGCAGGAAGCAGCGGATCCGGCGGCAGCGGAGGAGGTGGCCCTGGTGGCCTTGCTCCTCTGGCCATGGAGAGCGCAGCGGCCCGCGAAACCCCGGGGGCAGAGGCCACGCGCCCGCCCGCGCCCCCTCCATCGCCCTCCGAGCCCCCCACGGCGCCCCGCGCCCGCCCGCGCTTAGTTTTCCGCACGCAGCTGGCGCACGGCAGCCCCACGGGCAAGATCGAGGGCTTCACCAACGTCCGCGAGCTCTACGCCAAGATCGCCGAGGCCTTTGGGATAGCGCCCACCGAGGTGAGGACCCCGGACCCCCCACTCCCTGACGGGGAGCCCTGTCTCCATATTTCAGAGAAGCACCTCTCAGATCCAGTGGTGCGCATGCCCTGGGGACGCCCCCTTTGACCACCTTGCACAAAGATGAGCAGGTCTTAGCGTGGTGAGTACCCAGATGGCTCACATCCGGCTGAGGTGGATACCAGACCTCTGGGAAGCGCATGCATGGTTCCCGGGCGCGGCTGTGGGGTTTGGGTTCCTGGCAGCTGCTTTCCAGGCGATACGTCGGAGGTGCCCTGAGTAATAGGCTGGGCTGTAGAGCGGTGCGTCTTGCAACTCCCAGGGGGCGCCAGCTGATGCAGAAAGGCCTGAAAAAAATGGTGGGGGAAGGAGAGTCAGGGCGCCAAAGGATTCAAACTGAAAGGCCGGGGTCAGAAAACGGGGATTCTTCCGGCCCACAGCCTCCTTCTCACCCTGCTCCTCATTCTGGGGTTCTGTTTACTTGTCTCCCACCGTATTCTGAAGATCCTACCGGCTGGATTCCTGGGCACCAGGTGACTGGGCCAGTTCCGTGCCTCTTTGTGTCTCGGTTTCCCTATCAGGCCCATGAGCCCGTACCCTGGGGGTTCTGCACAGACAGTGGGGAATGAGCGCTCTCATTAATTCTGGGCTCCCCCTCCCCTCGGAACAGATCTTATTCTGCACCCTAAACAGCCACAAAGTGGACATGCAGAAACTCCTGGGCGGCCAGATAGGGTTGGAGGACTTTATCTTTGCACATGTGCGTGGCGAGACCAAGGAGGTGGAGGTCACTAAGACGGAGGATGCGCTGGGGCTGACCATCACGGACAACGGGGCCGGATATGCCTTTATCAAGGTGCCCGCGGTGGGGGGTGGGGACAATTTTCCAGGTGCTCAATGACCTGGGGTGAGTGACTGGTCTAAGTGGGTTCTGCGGAGGTGGCCCCGCAAGTGACTCTGGGTTCCTGCAGAGGATCAAGGAGGGCAGCATCATCAACAGGATCGAAGCCGTGTGTGTGGGTGACAGCATCGAGGCCATCAACGACCACTCTATCGTTGGCTGCCGCCACTACGAAGTCGCCAAGATGCTCCGGGAGCTGCCCAAGGCCCAGCCCTTCACCCTGCGCCTGGTGCAGCCCAAGAGAGCTTTCGGTGAGGGCCACCTGTGGCCTTGGGGACATGACTGGGGGTGGGCGGAGCTCTTGTGGAAATGGGTTCTCTGGATGCTGGGGACAGTGGAGAGTGGGGCAGTGAAACAGGATGGAAGATTCTAGATGCCTCTGGTGGCATGACAGGAAACTTCTGGCACCGTGTCAGGAATAGGTAGGTAGTTTCTGTGTTGTTATAGTCTGTCTGGAGGTGGGGGAAGTACAGAAAGATGGAGAAAGGATGAGGGGGTGTTTAGATCTGTTTGTCACATGGCTGGGAGCTTTTAAAGTGCTGCTTTAAGGCTACTGACATAAGGAGGCCTTTAAAGGGCGAGAAAGTTCTAGAAAGTCTCAGCTCAGGTTTTCCAGTGTTTACAAAGAATAGATCTTTCCAGAACACATGCCTCTCCACCATTCCGTCCCCTCCAGATATGATCAGCCAGAGGAGCCGTAGCAGCAAATGCCCTGTGGAAGCAAAAGTGACCAGCGGGCGGGAGACCCTGCGGCTTCGTTCTGGGGGGGCTGCCACAGTAGAGGAAGTGGTGAGTGAAAGGGAGAGGGGTCTTCAGGGGCTCTTGTACCTAGAGCTCCACTGCTGAGTCAGTGTGACCTTGGGTAGGACTCTCTTGCCCAGCCTCGGTTTCTCCACCTGCAAAATGGGTCTCTGTGGTGAGGCAGGTCAGTAGTGGTATGAAGAAGCATGGATACATGAGGTCCCAGCCAGCTCTCACCCAAGGGGTGGGGCCTTGAGAGGAGGCCGGGCTATAGGGACCTGAGGTTCCCCTCTGTTTTGTGCCCTGACACCCCCAGCCCAGTGAATTTGAGGAGGAGGCGTCTCGGAGGGTGGATGACCTTCTGGAGAGCTACATGGGCATTCGGGACCCAGAGCTGGGTAAGGGGCCAGGGTAAGCTGGTCGACCCCGGGGGGAGGCCAGCCCACGGGGAGGAGGTGGGGGGTCCCAAGGGAAAGTTGGGGTCCCAGAGCACCTTTACTCACTTCCCCTCCTGCTTTGGCAGCGTCCACCATGGTGGAGACGTCCAAGAAGACAGTGAGCGTTCAGGAGTTTGCACACCATTTAGACTCCGTCTTGGGCGAGTTCGCCTTCCCGGACGAGTTTGTGGTGGAGGTGTGGGCCGCCATCGGCGAGGCCAAGGAGGCCTGTGGCTAGTCTGCCCTGGGGCTGAGCGCAGCCCCAGTCCAGAGCCCAGCCCCCCTCCCCAGCCCTGCCGGCAGATTTCGGAAGCCCAGCCCTGCTCCAGAGCCCAGGTCATTTCTGAGACCGAGGTCACCTCTAGAACCCATACCAGTTCTGAGGCCAAGCCTAGTTCTGAGACCAAGCCCTGCTCTAGAACTCAGCCCTCCTCTAGAACCCAGGCTAGCGCTGAAACCAAGTTCAACTCTAGAACCCATACCAGTTCCGAGACCAGGCCCAGCTCAGAGACCAAGTCCTGTTCTAAAACACAGCCCAGCTCTGAGGCCAAGCCCAGTTCTAAAACACAGCTCAGCTCTGAGGCCAAGCCCAGCTCTGAGACCAAGTCCTGCTCAAAAACACAGCCCAGCTCTGAGGCCAAGCCGAGCTCTGAGGCCAAGCCCAGCTCTAAAACACAGCCCAGCTCTAAAACACAGCCCAGCTCTGAGGCCAAGCCCAGCTCTAGAACCAAGCTCAATTCTGAAACTAAGCCCTGTTCTAGACCCCAGGCCAGCTCTGAAACTAAGTTCATCTCTAGAACACCATTCAGTTCTGTGACCCAACCCAGCTCCAGAACCCAGCCCTCATCTATAATCCAGGACAATCCTGAAGCCAAGCCTAGCTCTGGCATTAAGTCAAGTTCTGGAACCCAGACAAGTTTTAAGACCCGGCCCAGCTCTGTGACCAATGCCAGTTTTGGAAGCCAGTCCAGCTCTGTGACCAAGCCCTGCCATAAAATTCGACCTGACTCTGAACTGCAAGACAGCTCCGTGACACAGCGGTACCCAGATACCCAGCCTGGCTCGGGAACCCCAGTCAGTTCTGAAACCCAGGTGAGACTCAAGAAGCAGCCCAGCTACAGAAGCCTCTCCAGCTCAGGATCCAAAGACAGCTCCCAAACCCAACCCCATTCACAAATCCAGACCAGCTCAGGAACCCGGGTGCATGTGGCAGCTCAGTCCAAATCCAGACCCCAGCCCTGCTCTAAAACCCAGTTTTATTCAAGCACCCACCCGCACTCTGGGGCCCAGGCCAGCTCCAGTGATGAGTCCAGCCCAGACACTGAGCCCAGCTCTAGATCCTGGCCTAGTGGTGCAACTAGGTCCATCTCCAGAATTCAGGCAAGCCCTGGAACCTCATCCATCTCTGAAGGAAGGCCTGTCTCCCCTGCTCAGCCTGACACCGGACCCCATTCTCACTGCAGTATGCAGACCAGCGTTAGAATGCCGTCCAACTCTGGCACACAGACCAACTTTAAGGACTGGCTGAGTTCCAGAGCTTATTCCAGACCAGGCACCCAACCCAGCTCTAGAACTCAGCTTAGTTCTGGAGGACCGCCTGGCTCTGGAATCTCATCCAGCTCCAAAACACAGTCAGTTGCTGAGACTCAGTTGGGTTCCAGAATACAGCTCAACTCTGGAATCCAATCTAGTCCTGGGACCCAGACCAGTGCAGCAACAGACCTAAGCTCCATGGCGCTGTCTAGCTCTAAGGGCAGGCCAAGCTCCAAGACCCAGCCCTGCACTCCTCAATCATCTCAGACTCCACTCATCTTGGAAACCCTGCCAAGTTCTAGATACCAGCTCCAGGCCACAACCCAAGGCAACTCTGATATTGAGCCAGACTCCGTGAAGCAGACCAACTCCGCAACTCAGCTCATCTCTAGAGTCCAGTTCAGCTCTGAGACTCAACTCAACTCTGAATCCCAGACCAGTTCAAGAATACAGCCCAGCTCTGGAGCCCACCTTAGTTTCAGAACCCAGCCTGTTTCTGGAGCTCAACCCAGTGTCAGAACCCAGACAAGCTCTGGAACCCAGCTTGTCTCTGAGACCCAGCCCAGCTCGGGGGCCCAGACCAGTACAAGCATTCAACCCAGCTCTGAAACCCAGTTCAGTTCCAGAAGGCAGTTTAGTACCAGGATTCAGTTTAGCTCTGAGATGCAACCCAGTTCCGACACTCAGACCAGTTCAAGAACACAGCCCAGCTTTGGAACCCACCTCAGGTCCAGAACCCAGCCTGTTCCGGAGATCCAAACCAGTTCCAGAACCCAGACCAGTTTTGGAATGCAGCTCAGATCTGAGACCCAGCCCAGCTCTGGAGCCCAGGACAATGCAAAAATGCAGCCTAGCTCTGGAGCCTGGCTCAGTTCCAGAACGCAGACTGGCTCCAAAATTCAGTTCAGCTCTGAGACCCAGCCCAGTTCTGAAAACCAGACCAGTTTCAACACTGAGCCCCACTCTAGAATCCACCATAGTTCCAGAACTCAGCCTTCTTCTGAAACCCAATCCAGCTCCAGAACCCAGACCAGCTTAAGAATCCAGCTCAGCTCTAGAAATGGGCTTTGCCCACAGACCCCTGGCCTTGACCCTAGAACCCAGTCTGATTCCATTCCCCCAACTCGACCTCAGCCCCCAGGCCCACCACCCAGAGCCCCTGCTCCAGCCCCTAGCAAAATCTCTCAGCCTCAGTCCCAGCCCCATGATCTGGTACATGGAACCAAGGCCAGCACTGGCCAGGGCAGAAGCCCACCGCCTTCCCACCCAGCTCCACCATCACAGACCCCCTTGGCGCCCAAGAAACCAGCCCTTTTCCCCAAACCCCAGCTGGGGCCCCATAAGTCCACTCCGCCCACCACATCTGTCATCCCTGGTTCTGCCTCTAGGGTGGCCCTCCTGCGGTCCCAGCCCCCTGCACCCCCAGGTCAGGAGCATGCCCCCTCCCCCATACTTAGGAGGTCAGGAACTGCTCTGCAAGGGTCAGAGCCCCTTCCCCATAACGGGGAGCAGTAGCTTGGGGGTTACATAGTTTTGGCCCCTGGTGGACCCCACCCGCTCTCCTTCCTCTCCCAGTTCAGGTCCCCCAGAAGCAACAGGTGACCTCATTCCCCACAGGTGAAGGGAGGGAGAATGGAAACTGGCTTCAGTTTCATTGGGCTTGGCTCTGGGAGGTGTAAGCAGATCCCAGGCCCGTGGAAGGGAAAGGGAGGGGGCGGGGAATGGTTTGCTCTTCATGTACCTCGAGGGCTCATGGGAATAAAGGCACATGCAGCCAGGTGTGTCGTGGTTTTTGTTTTTTGTTACTTTTAATCCTTTTTTAAAAAGATTTTATTTATTTTTAGAGAGAGAAGGAGAGGGAGAGAAACATTTATGTGAGAGAAACATTGATGGGTTGCCCCTTGTACACACCCCAGTTAGGACCGAACAAGCAACCCAGGCATGTGCCCCGACTGGGAATTGAACAGGCGAACTTTTGCTTCATGGGACGGCTCCAACTGAGCCACATCAGGCAGGACCGACCAGGTGTGAGGTTTTTGAGGGAGTTTGGGGGAAAGCAGAGGAAGCAACAGGCACGAGGCTCCAGGGAGCTATGACAACACTGGCTGCTTCTTAAGTATCTACTGTGTGCCAGGTGCTTTACAAATACTCACTGTGCATGTACTCATGTACTTGCACATACATGGCCCTCCTCAAAAGCTCCATTCATTCGTCCATTCAGTCAGTTTTTATTGAGCACCTACTGTGGGTCAGGTGCTGTTTGTTTAAGGCACTGGTAATCTGAGTGTTAGGTGGATGAATGGCTAAATGATAAGCTTATGAGGGAATGACTCCATCCAGAGTGGAGGAAGCAGGCATCATTTCATGGTCTTGTGTGTATCTCTCCCTTTCTTTTCTCTTTTTAGATTTTGTTTATTTATTTTTTAGAGAGAGGAGAAGGAAGGGAGAAAGCGAGGGAGAGAAACAGCAGTGTGGTTGCCTCTCGTGTGCCCCCTGCTGGGGACCCAGCCTAAACCTAGGCTTGTGTCCTGCCTGGGAATTGAACCAGTGACCCTTTGGTGTGTAGGCTGGCACTCAATCCACTGGGCCACACCAGGCAGGGCTCTCCTTTTCTTTTCCTCCCGTGCAAAGTGGGTTTAATACCAGGACCCTCTCTAGGGGCTGTAGGGAGGGTTCTGGGAGAGCCGACATGATAAAGGATGAGGGGAGAGGAGACAGAACGCGGCTCCGCCCTCTGCCCTTCCCCCGTCCTGTTCTCAGCTGCTGCACAGCTGGAGAGCAACACGGTGCACCGAACTTCCACAAATGCCAACTGACTTCCAGACTCAAAGGAAAATAAAGCTGGGCTGAGTTATATTTTGGCAAAAGAGGGGGTGTCCTGCCCATTTACATTCAATCTTTTCTAGACAGAGCCTTCTCGGGTTGGGGTGTCAAAGGGGATCAACTGCTCCTCAGAGAATAGGTCACATTTAGTGGTCAGAACCCCTAATTTCCTGAGGACTTCTGAAGGGAAGGCTTACAAGTCTAACTGCCTCCAGACACCCCCCTACACCCCCCCTCACCCTTCCTGGAGTTGGGAGGGGGCTGAGAGAAGGGAGGGGCCTTGGAAAAGGGGATCAGGGAAGAGCTGGGGGTCCTCAGGGCTGATGGAACATAGCTCACAATCTTGCCACTTGCACCCTCTGTCTATCCCACACTGCCAGCTCCTGGACTTCAGAATGGGCGGACGTGACTGTCAGGGAGGACCGAGGTTGAATGGGGGACGCGCAGCAGGGCACTCTGTCTGGCTGTCCTTCCAGAGCCACCACTGATGTCTGCCCCTGGCTCTATGCCACGGTGGGCCTCCGGTTGAGCTGGGGCTGCATTGACAGTGACCTGGCCTGGGCACCAAGGCCGGGGTGCAGGCGCCGGATCACAGCCCGGCGGAACAGGATGTACACCCAGGGGTCCAGGATCTGGTTCCAGGTGGCCACACGCAGGTAAATGAGCAGCTGTTTCTCCGTGGCTTCGGACAGCTGTCCAGCTGCATTCATGGCTGGCGGGCTCCGCAGCACCGTCTGGGCGATGAAGACCTGTCAAGGGTCAGAGCAGTTAGCCAGGCAGCAGCCAGCCTCCGGCCCCGCCCCTCCACCAGCACAGAGTGAGTGCCGATTCTGTCACTGCTTTGCTCTGTGGGTCTGAAGGTTTGTTTTTTTAAGATTTTATTTATTCGTTTTTAGAGAGAGGGGACGGCAAGGAGAGAAACATCAGTGTGTGGTTGCCTCTTGCTCAATCCATCCTGGGAACTGGCCTGTAACCCAGGCATGTGCCCCAACTGTGAATTGAACCAGCAACCCTCTGGTTTCCAGTCTGTGCTCAATCCACTGAGCCACACCAGCCAGGGCTCTGAGCTTGTTGATGTGGCCACAAAATAACACTCTTTCCCAGCTCCTCCCCTGGGCACAACTAAATGTGGTGGGAAAAAAGGCTCGCAGGTGCGAACAGTTGGAGTTACCATCAGAGCCAGCATTGTTCTAGTAAACATTTTATATTTTATAAACATTTCATAATATATTATAAAATTATAGTATTAAAGTGTGTACGAAATTATTTAATTATATATATACACACACACACACACACACATATATATATATTTTAAATCAATGTATGGCTGCTTCTGGTGCATCCCCTGCTGGGAACTGGCCTGCAACCCAGGCATGTGCCCTGACGGGGAATCGAACCGCGATCTTTTGGTTCCCAGGCCCATCTGTGCTCAATCCACTGAGCTACACCAGCCAGGGGTCTATTTTAATATATTTCATTAAATATTGAATTTTACATTTAATATTACATGATATATCATTTAAGTTATATATAAACAATTGTATTATACAATGTAATTATCTAATAATTAATTTATTGTTATTTATTATGTATAGTTAAATTTTTATGTGTAATTATATAATATGTAATATACTTATGTAGCTAAGTATTTATAATTGACATAACTATTAAGTATTAATAATGTATAATTATATATTAGATAGTGCTTAGATAATATTAAATATGTAACCATATTATATGATAATTGATATAGCTAAGTATTAATTATACTACAAGAATTATAATTATACTACAAGAATTAATGATAATGTATATATAACCATTATAATAAAATTATGTTAAATATAGTTTAATTCATACTGTAATAAATGCATTACATTAAAACTTTATAATATCAAAATAAATTATTAGCCCTGGCTGGTGTAGCTCAGTGGATTGAGCATGGGCCTGGGAACCAAAGGGTCCCTGGTTTGATTCCCAGTCAGGGCACATGCCTGGGTTGCGGGCCAGGTTCCCAAGTGGGGGGCTTGCAAGAGGCAACCACACATTGATGTTTCTCACCCTCTCTTTCTCCTTCCCTTCCCCTCTCTCTAAAAATAAATAGATAAAATCTTTAAAGAAAGAGAGAAAATCCTTTACAAAATAAATAAATTATAATAATATTAAAATTCTAGTAAAGATGGTTTCCTAAGTGCTATTGTGTGCTGGACAAGGCTGGGGCACTGCTGCAGACAAGTCGTCTTATGCTGCCCCAGTTTAAGGGTTGCTGTGTCTGGCTTGTGAGCTCCTCCAGGAAGGTCATCCCAGTGTGGGCCCTGAAACACATGTCCACGTTTTCTCTGATGGACAAGACCCCGAGGGTTGAAATTCATTCTGGATGGATGGAGGCCCAGTCACCACGGATGGCGGAACCCGGGGCAGACCCTGCAGGGGCCACTCACCAGCAGCGGCATCCAGCAGACACTGGCCACCACCATGATGCCGGTGAGCTGAGCCATCATCTCAACCTCGCAGTCCCGTGGCCGCTGCTGGGCGGCCTCCTGCCCGTAGTACACATGGCACAGAGTGGCTACACTGATGGTATTGAGCAGGAAGGACAGCCCCACAGAGAAACTGCCAAGGAGTGCAAACAGCAAGCCGAAGGCCACGTCTCCAGGCTCCGGGCCCAGCGTGAGGAAGCACCAAGAGCCCGGGTACTGCACAGTGTAGCGGCCCACGCCCAGCAGGGGCAGCAGGCCCAGTGCCAGCGCGGCGGCCCACACCAGCCCCACGGTGGTCCAGGCACGGCGCTGCGAGGCAGCCGCAGGGCGTGAGAAGGGTCGCGTGATACCCAGGTAGCGCTCCGAGGCCATGGCAACCCCCAGCAGCAGCGGGCACAGGCCGAAGAAGACCATGACCACGCCCATGAAGCGGCAGAGGTGGCAGCCAGGGTCCACGGAGTGCCAGTCAAAGAGGTTGGCGTGCTGGGACACCACGATGGCACCGGTGATGAACAGCCCCAGGAAGTCGGTGAGGACGAGGCCACAGAGGAAGGTGAGGAAGGAGGATCGCGTCTGGGAGCTGCCCTGCCGCGCGCCTGCCAGCACGGTCAGGGCCAGCAGGTTGGAGGCCAGGCCCACCAGGCAGAAGGAGGCGGCAAACCATGGAGAGGCGATCATGCGCCGTTCCTCCAGCGTGATGTTCATGGGCCGGAAACAGGGCCCCAGAGCACTGCTGTTGGGCCACATGGCGCTGGAGCAGAGTGGGGGGGGTCACCACCCCATGGAGCCGAGGCTGCAGGGGGGCAGGTTGGCACTGCTTCTGGCACACCTGGTAGGGGCAGAGAGATGATTTGCTCTGCATTTTTAAGTTGATTTTTTTTTTTTAGAGAGAGAGAAGAAGGGAGAGGGAGAGAGAAAGAAAGAGAGAAACATTCAATTTGTTGTTCCACTTATGCATTCAGTGGTTGTTTTTCATATGTGCCCGGACTCAGGAATCGAACCCACAACCTTGGCACATGGGACGATGCTCTAACCAACTGAGCTACCCAGCCAGGGCTTCAGTCTGCATTTTAATCTGAGTGGCCCTGGTGATCTCCTACACAGCCTTCAATACCCCACCTCAAATAACCCCCTTTTAAGGAAGCCTTCCCTGACTTATCTTACTCTGCACTCCTGAGCTTCACTGTTATTATAATACTACCCCCTGCTCTGTCCTGCCCCTGAACCAATAATCTTCAAGGTTAGGACCAGTGCTGTCTGCCCGGTGCCCCTGCAGGACACCAGTTAGCATCTGCTGAAGCGAAGGGCCAAGAAGCTCCAGGTGGAACTCCAGCCCTGGCGCCTGCCGTGTGGCCCCAAGCAAATGATTTCTTCTCCCTGAGTTTGTTTCCCTGCCGCCAGTCTCCATCCAAACCCATGGTGACTTCAGCATCCGGGACAGATCTCAGCCACAGTGAGACAGGACGCGTCCGGGCAAACAGGGGCTGGCCGCCAGCCGGGGGTCGCTGGCCCCCGTGAAGGCCTGAGCTCAGTCCCGTAGGTCACGATTTCCTGTGGGTGCCTGAGGGTGAGGCCCCACCCCACTGGTGTTTTGGGGAGACCCTTCCTCACACATGTTGCAATCGTATTCTTAGTTTTGAATATTTCTTAATTTTTTGAAATCACGTGAATTCTTTTTTTCCTATTTCATGGCATTGCTTTTTTTTGGTTTTTATTCTTCAGCTGAGGATATGTTTTATTGATTATAGAAAAGAAGGAAGAGAACTCGAGAGAGAGGCTTTGATTTGAGATAAAAACATCAATTGGTTGCCTCTCATATGCACCCTGACCAGGGATCGAACCTGCAACCTTTTGGTGTGCGGGAGGATGCTCCACCCAACTAAGCAACCCCAGCCAGGGCTCAAGGCATCGCTTACATAATGAGAAATAAACCCAGAAATCTAGTTCCATTCTAGGAACAAAAACAGCTCATTTGGAGTGACAGGGTCCCCAGGGACGGGCTATACAAGGCAACAGCAGGGACCCACCACTCAGTGTGGGGCTGGTGGAGAAAACTGGGCAGACATCTGGGCTTGGCTAATGCAAGTGGGGACAAATCGGCCAGAGGTGGGGACGTTAAGTAGCAATAAAATGAGGACATTCAAAAAACAGCTTCCAGTTCCCCAAACGGACAAACCAGGCAAGGTGGAATTCCACCCAGGGAAATGGGAGTAGCCTTCCACCCCAGGCACACCCCACAGGTCATCCTTGTGCTGGCCTCGAGGGTGCACCCGGGGGAGGGCTCAGAGTGGGCAAGGGTGGGAGGCGGGACCATGGGAGGAACAGGGACGGAGGGGGCAGGCAGTTAAAACTCATAAAGGTCCTATGATGATCTGCTTTTTGCAGAGTGGGCAAACTGAGGCACAGAGAGGTTAACTAACTTGTTCAAGGTCACACAGCCCAGCCCAAGCTGACTGGAAATTTACACTCGGGCCTCATTACACATAATGTGTGTCAGTGATTTGAAATCCTGCCCTTTGGATGGAGGCCCGCGCCAGGTGGGTGTGGGATTCATAATCACTGGAATTTTTTCTAAGGGAGGATAACATTTTCTAAAAAGTTGACCAGACCCAATTCAAACCCTGGCTGTGCCACGTACCATCTCAATAACCTTGACTCCTCAAGTCCCCACTGTGAGCTTCAGTTTCCCTTCCCGTAAAATGGGGCTTATGGTAGAAATGAGTTCATCTGGGTACAGGGCTTACTTAGCCCATGGTAGGTGCTCAATTCCTGCAAATGTGCTCAGCAGGTGGCCTCCAGCCCTCACCGCCCCCCCTTCCCACTTGCAATCGGCTCCTTGGCCCAGCCCCTTGGCTCCACAGCTCCTTATCTAGTCTCATAAATTATCGAGCTCCTGACGGCTGCCCTGAACTTCCATCCAGGCTGAGTGCCAAGGCCACAGCCGCTTTGTGGTGGCAGGGCCTCGAGTGGGATAACCGAGGCATGGGGAGCTGGAGCGGGCAGAGGGAGTGCTTTCCATGGTGACCGGTGACCTTAGCCTTCCACTCCAGGCCTGGGTGCTCTTTGCCATCCCGGACTTGACCTGCACTTGAATTCCTCCTGGAACAGGGCGCTGCCTCCCTCAAGAGCTGGTATGTGCTGTTTCGGAACATTTCTGGGGACATAGTTCTGTGTCTGCAGCCACTGCCCTGGCCTCTGTCTGGAATGACCAGCCCCTCTTGGGTCTCATGGTCCCTTTGTCCCTGCCTTCCTGCGAGAGCTCCTGCACCATTTACTCACCCAAGACACACACCCCTGAGATATCCTCATGCCTCCCATGTCTGGGAACAAACCTGTGACTCAGAGCCTGTGGCCTGGGGGAGGCTGGAAACTGGCAGGAATCCCTCTGGCCACAGCCTGCGGTTTCCAGTCCTCCCTCCTATGGGTTTAGGTGATAGGGGCTATCTCAGGTTTCCCAGGCAAGCTGGCCAGTAGAGGCACCTGGCAAAGCCTCCCTTCCCCTCCCACGTTGGCCCAGAAAACAGGCAGGGCCCCTAACCTACAGGGGACCTGTTTGCATCCCAGCCACGGGTCGGAGAAGCAGCATATTGTGGCCTTCGGGGAGATCCACCTCCCTCTCTGTGCCTCGTGGGAGGCATGGGCTCCAGATTCCCAGCCCAGATGTGCTAGACAAACCTGGGGTTCCAGGGCTCAGAGTGAGGAGGTTTAGACTCTGAAGGGCCAGAGTTCTGGAATTTGAATGAGCTCCCAGTTGTGAAAACTGGAAGGCCTCCAGAGTCCAGAATTCCAAGGGGCTGAGGTTCCAGAACCTCAGCGAGAGTTTGGCTGGGTCCTGGGTTCCAGAAATCTGTCTCTGCAACTGGCTCCCTACTGGAGGCTGAACAAGGGACAGGACTCCCGCATGGCCCAGTGGGATGTGATTCTTTGTTTCCCAAGTATCAGGCCTCGCCTCTGCCTGATCACCGTTATTGCCCTCCCCACTCTCCTCCCCCACCTCCATCAGGCTACCCATCTCTCTACAAGTCCCTCTGCCACTCAACACCCCACCCCCCAGCCTGCCCAGGTCTGCCTATTCGCACACTCTGGGCCCACTCAGCCTTCCCAAGGGGCGACAATGACCTCAGACAAGCTCAGCTGGAAGTCCCTGATCTGCCACTGCTGAGCAGGGGAGGGACACACACACACACACACACACACACACACACACACACAGGGGACTCCACACTGCTGAGCTTCAGTTTCCCTCTCTGTGAAATGGGAAGAATGAGGACACTAACTCGCCCGCTGGCATTCTGCATGGTTTTCCCAGGCCTGCTTTGCTCCAGCCGAGGAGCCTTTGCCTCCGGTGCCTGGGGTGCCCTTCCTGCCCCTGGCTATGTTCACAAGTGTGCCTCCAGGTCAGGTGTACAGGGCCTGATACTGCCTGTGACCTCGGCCGGCCCTGCCCCTCGGCCTGTTGCCCACATTTCCTGTCTTCTAACTGCTAGAGTCCAGGAGACCAACGACGACACCCCTTGGCATGAAAGTAAAGAGGCCAGGCCAGAACCTGCATCAGCCAGTTCCAGCCCAGCCCCGAGGCACATCCAGCTGCCCGTGGACTCCCTCCACACCTCCGTGTGGCCACAGACACACACACACACATGCAGACACACAGAGCCAGCTGCAGTCCCCAGGCCCACACCCAACTCCCCTCACCACAAGGCTCAGTTTCCGGGAACTTTTCCTGTTTGCAACACTAACCAGGACCCCACCCAAGAGAGTGTAGTGAGTCTAACTAGGTAAGAGCTGAACCTGGGCCCAGGTGCATGGGGTTCCTCTGAACCTCGGTTTCTAATTTGTTCGGTAGGTTTCCGAGAAGTGCTCACTGCTCGGGGCTGTCAGGAAGGCCAAAAGTGGGGGTGGATGTGAGATGGGTGGGGGTGGATGTGAGATGGGGGGGGACCCAGCCCTCTGGCCAGTGGTTACTGATGGACACGAGAGTTATGGTGATCATATGAACCCATCACTGCATGCGCACGCACACTCACTCCCAGCCACACCCTCCCTGTGGCACCATAGGGCCCTAAATGTCCCCGTACAGACTCAGAAGAACTCACACCCAAGCACATGCTCGACTACACTCGGCTGCACACTGGCCAGGGCAGGCAGCAGAAGTGCAAGGTCACCCTCCAGACACAGACCTGGTCTCATCAACTTCCCAGGACACCCAGAACCTGGCTGCTGTCACCGCCCAGGGTGACACACCCACGACAGGGCAGGTCACAGCAGGAAACACTCCAGCAACACCTGCCCACTCTCACGCCCCGCCCCTAAACTGGACAGCTGTGTCCTCACCTGGCGATGATGAATGGATGGGGCCGCTGCGGTCGCCGCACTGTCCGGGAGCCCGAGCCGGGAGGACGGGCGTGCGGGCACTAGTCCGGCCCGGGGCCGGGGAGGGATGGAGGGAGCTGGGCGACCTGGACTGCCGGGGAAACAGACTCACAGTGGGGGCGGGCCCACAGAGGACCTGGGGGTTGCCACGTCTTCAGAGGCACAGGACGCCCGGTGCGCGGGCTGCCGTGAAGCAGGAAGGGCTAGGTCCCCTCTGAGGCTGGAGGGGGGTCCTTGGGGCTAAAAATAGTCGGTATCCGGCTCCGCTCCACAGGCAGCACCCCGTCGATCACTAACCTCCTCTCTCACGGTCTCTGTCCTTCCCTTCTCCTGCTTCTCATCGGCCCCTCCCCCCTGCTGTGGCCACGCCCCCTCGGGCCGGGGTTTTGCTGATGGGGGTCAGCGGGGCTTCCCCAGCCCCAGAGGAGAATGCGCAGCCTCCTGGGGAAGGGACATCCGAGGGACACCAGATCACAGAGGCAGGGGTGTAGTGGCCTGCCCCAGGGCCCCCTTCAGGAGCTCTCGCGGCATTATTCATGGTCTGGGAAGCACCGGCCGGGCCGGGGCAGGCATGTTCTGTGTAAGGTAGGGTCAGCTCCCCAGGGTGCCCAGACCCCCACTCAGGCTGAGAGCTGGTGAACCCGCTGGGGTTGGGTCTGGCACACAGTAGGTAGGTTTGAGGTTCCTGCCAGGGCTGGGGGTTGAGTGCAGGCTGTTTAGAGGGGAGGGGCGACAAGACTCTCCAGCCAGCAACTTGGTGGGCAGCCTCCTGAGGTAGGCCTGCCTGGAGCAGCTGAGCGGAGAGGGCTGTGTGGGGCTGAGGGAGAGGGTGCTGCCTGAGCCGGGGCAGTGGGACAAAGGCTGAGAGACGGAGCTGGGGCCAGGTGTAGGACAGCCTGCAGTCTGGGTGGGGAGGTTGCTTCCCTGCCCCCCCCCCCATGGGGGCCGGGCCCCAGTGTGGGGAGGGGAAGGCCTGGAGTCTGTCACTGTAGGGATGATTCCAGGTTGAGGCTGGGGAGCAGGAACAGGGCTCCAGAATGGGCTTCCCAGGTGGGGTCGACTTCCTTGAAGGCCACAGACACACTTGGGGCTCTGGGTCTCATTGGCCCAAAATGACCAGGCTGGGCCCAGCTACAGTAAACACGTGGTGGCTGGCCCATGCTGCAGGAAAGTGAGAAGCTTCTTGAAGGCCTTTTCTGCCCCTAGTCCTGGGCCTTCGGTCGTTGAGAGGGTCCAGAGGTCTAGGCATGGAGGGGCGACCTTGGGCTTGTTGACCCAGAGTTAGGCCTAGACTGGACCGAGACCAGCTAGCTTGGCCTTGAGCCCGCCCCACCCAGTCCTTGGGCAGGGAGGGGAATATGAGTGCAGGCTCCTAGTGAAGACTGACTCTAGAGTGAAGACTGACTCTAGCCCTGTACTCTCCTAGGCACTGGTGGGAAGCCCCTTCTCGGGCTTTCCCGCCCACCAAGTTCCGTCCTCCAGGCCTTGGCTCACACCCCCATTCCTCCAGATAGCCCCTCCCCTGTTCCATCCTATTGTCTGAGTCCCTGAGACATTTAACCCCAACTTCTCCTGATTGGCAAGTCTTCCAACTCCCTGCCTCTGGAAGAGCCCTGGTTCCAAGGACCCCTCCTCTGTAAAGCTTTGATCTCCCAGGCAATCTCGCTCCCCTTCAATCCCTCCTCAAGGGCAACTCTCTGTCCAGCCCATTTGGTGGGACAGTTATGAGCCCCAAGTAGGACTGGAAACAAGACCTGCTCTCAGAAACCCCCAGGCTGGAGAAAGACAGAGCTGGACACAGTCCTAACCCCCTGCAGTCATGGGTGGGCCAGAGGAAGTAATGAGACAGAGGGGAGCCCAGAGGTGAGCCAGGAAGGCACCCTGTGGGGAGAACGTCTGAGAACTGGTGCTTTGTGGGATGAGCAGGAGTTCCCAGGTGCAAGAGACTGGCAGAAACCACACGTGTAAGACTGGAGATGAGACAGCGCGAGGCCTCGGGGAGCTGCAGTGAGGGCGGTGTGGTGGGGAGAGGATGTGGGGCTGGGGCAGATGGCGGCGGGGGTGAGGGGGTGGAGGGGGACGGTTCCATTCCCACTTCCTCTGCCCAGAGATAAGAAGGACAATGCTCCTTCTGGAACAGCCAGGGCAGGGTCAGAGACGCACACTTGACTGAATTTAGTCTGGGTCTCACTGCAGCTCTGCACTGAATGAGGTAAAGATGCTCATTTTTGTCAATGGGGGAAACTGAGGCCCAGAGGGAGGAAATGACACCTTCAAGGCCACACGTGGGTAGGATTCAAACCTGAGCTCTGGGCTTCCTCCAACCTCCTGGGCTGGTGACTGGAGATCTTCTAGCCTCTGTTTACCCCCCTCCTAGCTCAATGGGTACATGAGGCTTGGAAGGCACTTGGCCTGGAGGGTGGGCCAGATGTCAGGAGCAGAGGCCAGGCTCAGGACATGCCCCCCGTGGCTGTGGTTTCCGGTGGGGGACCAGGCAGGGGGCATCTATTTTTAGATTTGGATTCAGCCAAAGGCAGGAAGAAGCTGGGTTGGGGGTTGGGGGCAGCTTAGGCCAGGGTGGACGTAATGGGGCAGCTGGGTGGTGCGGTGCCTCCAGTCTGCCTGAGGGGTCTCCTGGACAGGCAGCTCGTGTCCCTGCTCAGCTGTCACCCTGTGTGGTTCCACAGCGCCCTGGGGAGTCCAGCTCTGGAGCCTGCATTCAGCACTGCCGTGTTCCCGCCCTGGGCGAAGCTGCTCCTTTTCCCCCTGCAAGAGGGTCACCGCCCTCTTCCTCTGCTCAGCAGCCCTCCCCCAGGAAGTCATATTTCTTCCCAGGCCCCTCAGGCAGTGCCTTCCCCAACTGGGCGCCCCCCCCCTCCCCCCCACCTGGGGGGTCACTGGGGTTGGGAGGACTCTGCTGGGGGCAGGCAGGGAAACTGAGGCTGGGACATGGGCGGTGCTCTGGGAGGTGGGGTTCCCCGAGTTGGAATCCAGGTTCGAACCCCACCTGCCACTTTCTAGGTTTGAACACATGGGCCTTCACGATCCTGTTTCCCCAAGTGGACATTAATCCTGCCGCGTGGAGCTGGCACGAGGTCAGGGCTGGGCTGCCGCAGCCACACACAGTCCACACTGTGACATCAGAATGGGGCCTTGCCCAATTGAGGACCAAGCCCAGAACCAGGCACCAGAATGCCTCCTTGGTCTGCCCTGCACTCAGTGACAGGAAGCAGGCTCCGGGTGAATTGGTAGTGACTACTGCCAACAGGGTCCTGAGGTTGCTCTGGTAGCGATCGACTAGTGAGGTCTGCCCAGGGGTCCAAAGGGGGCAGAAACCACCTGAAGAGGGCACCCACTGTCTAGCGGGACCTTGCCGGGCCTAGGTGAGCAGCTCCTTAGCGCCTAGCACCCAAGGTCCAGCCTGGAGTGTTGGTGATTACATTTCCCCCAACCCCCGATTGGGGGAGAGGCTGATGGGCCCGAGGCAGCACGAGAAGAAACCCACCGACTCAGCAGCTTCCTAAGGACAACTGCGGACTATTTGTAGGCGTCATGGGTGTTTTTCAAAGGTCTTGGTTGGTTTCTCGCCTTAGTGGTGCAAACGTGCCCCGTCACGCGAGACGGTGACAATGGGGCAGCTGAACGTGGCTGCCAGCGGGGCAGGAACTTGGGGCTACCTTTACAGCGTTTCTGAAAATCCTAAATTATTCTAAAATAAATTGTTTATTTTAAAAAACATACTCTCATGAGTAGATCAGTTAAATGAAAATAAACAAGATTTTTCCCTCCCCACCTAAAAAAGTCTTTTCAGAGAAACCACCTGAAATGTTTCCAGATGAAACCGGGTGCTTGGGGGGGGGTTGTCCGAGGAGCCGGGAGATGGCGCCCTGGGCGTTCGGGGTGGGCTCGTCCCACTCTGGGCCAGAGCTGTCTCCATCACAGAGCCTTGGTTCCTGGGCGTGGTGCTGGAGGGCGGCATGTCCTTCACCCCCACTTGGGAGGAGACTGACCCCACAGCGGGAAACAGGGTGAGGGGAGCAGATGTCCCTTCAAAGAGATTTTGGAACATGGCACAGCAGGGTCCGGGTTCCACTGGGGCAGGCTGAGGGAGGCTGGCTGGGAGACAGCCAGGAGGGTGGGCCCTGTAGCAGCTGGCTGTGTCCAAGGGCCAATCAGGGCTCCGAATTTGGATTCCCTGCCCTTCCAAAGCTTGGTATCCCATGTCTGGGCCTCATGCTGCCCCCAGCCAAAGGGCCTGCCCTGTAAGGGCTTGTCTAGGGCAGGCTTTGGGCTTGAGCACGCCCACGCAGACAGTGAGGTTGTCCGATACCTGCTGGGTTCCCTGTGCTCAGAGTCCTGCCAGCAGCCCCCCAGGCATGTCAGAGCCCTGGACCAGCCTGTCCCGGGCGTCCCCTCACCGCTCAGAGGAAGCTCCACCATGAGTTCCTCGCTGTTCTCAAAGAGAAAGTGAGGCTGGTGAGGGGGGGCCCAGCCTGTGCACCAGCTGGGGAAAGCTGCCGGCCTCGCCACTCCTGTCAGGTGGTTGGGGAAGGGGGATACAGGGCCATCACCGCCGGTAACGGTAGCGCTTGAAGTGGAACCAGAGCTGGAAGATGCCATTGGCGAACTGGCAGCGGAAGCCATGGCGGTGTGAGTACTCCCACTCGCGGTTGACGATCTTGAAGGCAATGTCCTCGTAGGGCGGACCGGCGTGGAAGCGCAGGGTGGCGAAGTCCTTGTTGTCGGGGCAGGCCTCCAGGAAGTACTCAGGCGTGGAGCGCTTATCTATGAGGTCGGGGTAGAAGATGTTGAACTTGTAGCCCTGCACGATCTTGGGCGGTGGGTTGTCGAAGTCATAGTGTGTCTGGTTGTACTTGTTCCACTCGAACCCCGTGTGCACTCGGTTGAAGAAGCGTGGCTTGCGTGGCCGGTACTTGTCGGCCCACAGGTAGGCCTTGCCAGTCAGGGGCATCTCCACGCTGAACTGCGCCTCGTCCTGGCCCATGCCCTCCTTGGCCCGCCGGAAGAAGATGTCCTCTGCACTCTCACTTGCGTCACCTGAGGGCGAGGCAGCCGTTAGCTGGGACTGTGGTACCAATGGGCCTCAGTTTCCCCGGTCACAGGGAGCCTGGGCCTCACTCCAGGGCGGTGGGAAGGGGTCCGAGCCTGTTCCACCCTGCCGGGCCTCTCTCAGAAGGACTGAGGCTCAGGGTAAAGGCACAGGGTGGGACAGGCCCCAGCTCCCAGCTTGCCTTGCCTGCCTGGTGCCCCATCCCTGGCCATCTATGCTCACTGTTCTCCCCGTGTGGGTACCAAACACCATGTGTCCCCGGCTGGGTGGCCAGAGAA